ATATCGGATAACCTTGTAAAAACATCAAAATGCATAATAAATCAGTAAATTGTCATTTACTAATTTGTTATTGATCTTAGTTTCTTAGCTTTATATAATGGTTGAGAATAAGATAATAGTCTAGAAATATGTATTAATGCTTCTTTTATCATTTTACAAAATATCATTGCATATTTCAACATATTTTATAATATTTCCACAATGTCTCTAATTTCTACAATATTTCCCCTCCACATTTCCGGCATATGTCCTATATTTTGGTAAGTGACATTTCCATCGACATCAACATTTTAAACCTTGGTCTGGATACGACCAATTGAAGGTTTTGTTAAACTTAATTTTGATGGGAGTAGCCAAGGTAATCCAGGCCCATCTGGAATTGGAGGGGTGGTGAGAGATGGAGAAAGGAAACTTATAGCACTTTTTTCTGGCGCCACAGGTATGGGGGACTCTCTCAAAGACGAACTTCTTGCTGCAATTCAAGGGGTGCAGATAGCTAGTGAGCTAAACTTGACAAATGTGGTGATAGAAGGGGACTCAAAAGTGGTGGTAGAATGGCTACGGAATCCTGAGTCTATTATTTGGTGCTACAAGAGTAAATGAAAAAAATTACAATGGGTGAGAAGATAAGCATATGGGATGGCGGGTGCTGTGTCTAAACAAGGGGTAAACAGGTCTATTTTATTAAGGGCACAGTTGTAATGTGTTTTTCTTTTGTATGAGAGGTAGCAGCTCGTGCCTCTCTAAGGGATGATTGTAAAGATTTTACATAAGGTACATTAATAAAACTCAATTTACTCATAAAACATATCATTGGACAAGAAGAAGAAAGAATATGGAAAAGTAGACATAGGGATATTCCTGATCAAGTCATGCTATTTTGGCATTCTTAAGGAGAAGACGAACCCATTAACATGGCACTACATTTGGTCCTTTCACTAAACAAGTGGTTTTCAGCGAACATTATGTAAAGCTCAAAAGAATAAATTGAAGAAAGAAATCTAGGAGAAG